ATTATTTAAAAAAAGGGGGGTAATGTTGCGAGAAGTACAGGACGGTTTCTCTTGTTAAAATTAAGCCGTCAGAAAATGTTAAATTTTACGAGAATACCGTGAAGCAAAAAATAAGAATTTAACTGTGGAAATGTTAATTATAATAAGCTCCGCACTGAGATTAATGCGAGGTCGGATTTAAAGTCTTTCAGCCATATGGATTTCGTAAGTGAATCACTTTCGTCTCTTATAACTTCGCTGCTTGTCGTTCAGCATTTTCATGAGCAACCACGCGGCCGGAACTAACCGCGTTATCTACCTTTACTTGGTGTTTACACGCGGAACTTTGTTCATCGCCTCATTTACACGGTAACCAAGGATACCACCGTCGCGCACTGCTTTTGCTCTTTCTCTCTATCTCTCTCTCTCTATCTCGTGGTCTTTCCATCTTTTTCATTTTATGCTTTTGTCTCCTTTATTCAGTAGTTTCTATTCTGCGCGCTCTGCTCTTTATCTATGGGGGAAATATCAGCCGCGGGCGCAGTAGCGTTAAAGGGGAACCAGTTAAATTAATAATTTCGAAATTGCGAAAGAGAAATTGCCACTCGTAGTCCTTGTTCCTTTGTGTAGTTGCAGTTTTCCAGCCCCGGCAAAACTCCGTCGGCGAGCAAATGGAAATGCGAGCCACGGACTTTTGAAAAAATCGATTTGTCCGCAGATAAATGGATTCAATTGAGTCACCTGATAGTTTCACACGAATTGATATTATCACACTCTCGTTACGTGATTGAATTTCTTGTTGGATCACGTGTATTCGATTATCAAATATTGTAAGTTTACATCTTACTTGATTCGAGTAAAAAAAGTTTCGAGCAAAAATAAATAAATAAAATGTAAATATTTGAAAATTACTTCTTAAATCGTAGCTATATTAAAGTATTTTATTATTATGTTTTTAAGCATAAAAATATTCTGATATGTAGAATCTATTTTTATTTAAATGTTACATTTGCTTCATCTAAATCAAATTTATTCGTATTAAAATTTCATTAAAATAACATGTACGACATTCTTTCCAAGTAGACTATTAATTATCCGTATAAATTATTATGAAATATTAGTCGTACGGTGTTTCAATCTTACCGATGTAATTTTTCCATTAACGTGGTTTTGCGTTAAGTACGTACATTGACTCGATTAACCTTGTTAATAGCTGTAATTTTCACACACGCGTTGATCTAATGAGAAACGAGGTTGTTTTGGACGCTTCGTAACAGGGCATCGAATGTACCGGGAGAGAATCTTAGCAACACCCGTAATTATGTAGCCCTGTTTCAAAACGAGCCTCGCTTCGTATAGGAATGAGGCCCAACGTCGATGGAGCTTGTTATTGGCACCGTAAACAACACGATTATCTTCTTCCGTAGTGGAACCTGCCAAAAAAAGATTCTATTAATATTTATGATCCAAGAGTACGATTCACTTCGACACCCTACGGGGAAGTTAGGCTTGCCAAATTATGCGACGGGATGAGTTATAGGTTGAGGTTGCAACGCGCGATCGTTTGCTATGCTTTCGTTGCCATCGGAACATATCCGCTATGCTCATAAATGAGTGATGAAGATGAATGCAGGGTACATTTATCAATTTTGCGAACGTTGCACGACTCGTGCCCGTAAAAATCATATTGGACAAATGAATTTATTCCAATACTTATTGTGGAGATATAGCCATATACAATATACATATGTAATATTCTAAAACATTTATAATTCACCTTATAATAAAAGGTTACAAGTATATCATAGTTCTAATTGTCAATTAATTGAATATTAATTCTCGAATAATTTATTAATAAAAAAAATATACGTAACATGATTGTTAAAAATGGCATTAAATTATAATAATTCATTTGCGTGGGATAGAAAGGAATTTTTTATATTAGATTACAGGTTTTAAAATAATGTATTAAATTATAGATTTTAAAGTAATGTATTATATGGATTATAGATTTTAAAATAATGTATTAAATTAAAGATTTTAAAGTAATGTATTAGATTATAGATTTTAAGGTAATGTAATTTTAATAATTGAAGGAACGAGAATATCGAAGTAAATCTTTTTCTCTTTCTCACATTCTCTCTTTTTTTCTCTCTCTCTCTCTCTTTCTTTCTTTCTCTTCTTTAATACAAGGATTTTACACGCGAATATACATATATGAGCATGAAATTTATTCGATGAAATGCAAGCTGCATTATACAATTTCCCGTAAGACTCAACAGCGTTTCTCTTTAATGATATTTAATAATGCTACACGTCATCCGGCATCATCGTGAAAAAAAATGGCATCAAGACATCGAGGTCAACAACTATCGTACATTCATTCGGAACATTTGATCATGAGTCGAGTAACGAGTATATTTTTTATTGCACCGAGAAATCGCGCATACGATAGATTCGACATGCAATGCCGATATTTTATTTCGACGTATTGTACAATATTTTTTACGTCTGTCACTGGATTTATGTACGATAAGCAGGATCCAATAATCTACCAGGATGGATAGCCGAAAACTCACTGTTATTGATACGATGGCACGTTTTATTCGTTTATACATATGTTCCTCTGTTATAAATTTTAAAATGGCGATGTGTTTACACGGTAGTTGTATTTATCTTTGATATATGTATCTCCATGTTTTATGCGCAAATGTAAAAAAAAAAAAAAAAACATTTATGTCCGTGTGTAAATACGTTGGAAAGATGAATTAAACAAAATCTGATTTCCTGAATAATTAGACCGTCGTTAAATTATTGTACACAACATTCGCGTTGAATATATTCCCATCAGCCAAGAATAAAGTTTAAATAGCGTGGAAAATCGAGTTTATCATTTTGCAAGGTAATAACGTCCTGAACTAAGCGCTAGACAAATTGAAGAATGAGTATATTAATTACGTCATACTCCATTAGGATTTACCGTAGACGCCGTCGCCACATTTTCGCATTACGAGCGAAGTTCTGTAAAAATAGGGGGACATTAAATTTCCTCCGGCGACGAATTCCGGGTTAACATTCTTGGAACGGTCGCTCTAACGAGCTCCACGATAATAAAAGTGAAAGGCGCGAGCGCGAGTTTCAACCTTGGTCTCGCCGCGCGCATTTTCCTTGTTGAGAAAGGGGTTGAAGAAATTGGCAGGAAGAAAAGAAAGAGGGAAGAGGAACGAAAGAAAGATGCTGGCGCAACGTGTGATATTCCGCTATCTCGGAACGCCTCGTCTTCTCAACATGTTAATTTTATGTTGGTGAAGTGATAAATAAGGCGTCGTCGGTAGCTCACTGTTTTTTGTCCGAGAGTCTTCATTATCAGCTGTAATATATAACCGTGGCCCTTCGGGGGCATTTATGATTTGCGAAACGAATTACGAAGGGTCGGATACACGTACTGAGTGATCTGTAGAAACTATGCATTAGATGATTGTTCGCGCGATTATCTGGTCGCTCGGCTCGAGCGTTTCTCTTATTACACGTAAAATGTGCACAAAGGCAAGGACGTTACTTTAGCGAAGTCGCCGCGGCTAATCGCGTCCAGGCATCTCAGTTGTTCATCGTGCCTCGCAGCGTTCTGGATAAGGGTTCGCACGAAAAGAAAGCGAAATCGCATGTGATCTCGGACACATCGGTTTTGAAGGTGGTCCTGCGCATATATAGGGTGTCTCAGGTTGTCTTCTTCACGCCTTTACCTACGAGTTCTTTAATTAATTTAAAAAATTTTCTCTTAGCAGAAATTTTAAGATTTTATTATTTGCATGTTTTTAAATTGAAAATGAATAAGAAAAATCTACCAATTTTTATGATACGTGGTCAAAATAAGGAGAAAAATTGATAACGATATTTTACTCTTTCTTGTATAAGATAAATTTTCACAGAATGTTAATTTAAGATATATGAAAATATTCAATGGCAAAAAGAGGACCAAATTAAATTTTCCCTGAGAAAAGTATGACTTAATTAAAAGAATTAAAGCTGCTTAATTAAAGCTAGATTAATGGAACATCTTAACATAGTTCAATTTTACATTTTAATTAATTAAATTTAATTTTTGTAAAGAAAAGTACTAATATCAAAGCATTAATTAAAAAATTCATACGTGAGCATACTCTTGAAACATACTGTATATCGATTGGCCTTTAGATCTCGAGGTGCGAACCGGTTTCCTTGACTCGATTTTCGACACAAACTTCGAATCTCCTTCAACCCCCTCGATCTGTTCTGATGGGGTTCTTGCGCATCATTTTTGTCTCCCTTGTTGGAGCGAGGCTTTATTCAAGACACGCTGTGGTGGATAGTGATGGTACGCCTTCCCAGTGTCAGATTTTATTTATCTCATGGTGGCTTTTTGTTTCGTGCTAAATACTCCAGCATTTAAGAAGACGGTCTTCCCCGATTTATGGCCGCCGTCGCTGCCTCTAAGTTCTGCTTTTTGCTCCTTTTCATCTTTCTTGAATCCACTCGTGTGTTTTGTGTGGATTCTTCGAGAATACTCATCTCACGCTTTATTCGTCGTCATCAGTATCTCGTTTACTTTGTAAAATATGTCAATCGTAAATTTAAGAATGTATGCGCCAGAACTCAAAGCAATTCAAAAACATAAAAATTTCACAAATTCTTCTATTATTACGTCTAACAATGAGTATCTGTTCAAAATTTGAGCATATTTAATAATTCCTTATTAGTTTACAAGCTATTTAATTTTTTTTGCCTTATTATGTAAAATCGCTTTTTATAAGACTCATTTGCAAATTTGGAATGAGGAAATTATGAATTAAATGAAATTTTTTGTACAACAAAACTAATAAAGATATTTGTCCAAAATTATTTGGATCAATTTACTCGTTTAAAAGTTTATCGGAAACTTGAACAAAATATGGTAATATAGCTGTATGAGCATTAAAAGTCAAATTATAATTTGTTTTTTGCAGTTGGTTTTAGAGTATATTTACAACCAAATTTTTTGACAGATCTTAGCTGGTATTGACTATTTGAGTTGATTTTTGGCTAATTACTTTTAACTAATATTGTACAAGACTTTAAAGAAGCGACAATTGAGATTATATTAAAATAAAAATTTGAATATGTATAAAATTATCGAAAGAACGATTTTGCTAAACGTATTTAAAAATTTAGCTAGATATATATTTAAAAATAATTTTGTTGATTATCAAAATAATTATATAGAATGATTAAGCGTTAATGACAATGCTGCAAAATGTTTTAACATTCAAGCAAACATTTTGAGCATTTTTACATAATTATTTTTGGTGATGATCCGAACAAAATTATTTTTAGATTTATATCTAGCTAAATTTGTAGATATTTCAATAAAACTATTCTTTCTGTGTGATTTTTATATTTTCATAAAATTTCATTCCATTCTGTTCCAGATAAATGTGGAAGCGGTGACTTTAATCAATTCGGTTTCAACACCTATAATTACTCGCAGTTTGAAGAGAAATACAAGCCGCGGCAAATTTTTAAATATGGCGACGAGTACCTCGAATACGGACATAAGCTCGGCGCTAACGAGAGATTCGCGCGAACGAAGTACCAAGACGGTTTAAGATTCGATCAACGATACTCACGCAGCCATTCTCAACCGGAACGGCAGCATCACTTGTCTCAAGAGACACGCTCGAAGTCCCAGGATTCCCGCGAGCTCACGTTCTATCAGATAGACCCGCCTGTAAAATTGGAAAATCCACGGCAACATGACAAGTCGCATCAGAAGCTAAAGAAGGAATTGACCTTTTACGGGATCGATGGACTCCCATCCGGTCAGGAGAGGAGGGATAAGTCTGAGGCGTGCAAGGAGCGTATTGATAAGGGTATCAAGTCCCACGACAAGTCCCACGCCGATGGTCAAGAGAGATCGCAGATCGCAAAGCACGGCAAACAGAGTCATCAGGAGCAGCAGAAGATGTTGATGAACGCGCTAACGTCGGACTACCATCAGCTGAACCGGTCACAGTCGGATCTCACGGAGTGTCAACTGCCGAATTACTGCGGGCACCGGAATAATCCGTATATCGATCCGCCCAAGTATCGACAGTTTGACAGGCCGCCACGCTATCAGGAGACCCCACTGAAATCGGAACCGCCACCCAAGTATCACGCCGATCCGCCTAAGTACGCCGAGGTGTCCAGACGGCAGGATGACTTTAAGAGGATCCAGGTAAGCTATAAGATAGGAAATTCTCAGTCTCTCTATAAAAGTACAGGTTACTCCAAAACGTCTCTCTCTCTTTTGCTGATCGATTATAAATAATATTATAAAAATTGAAATAATATTATTTATAATATTATTTATTAGGTGTTGGAATTAATTCGTAGCGTTTTACAAGTGATGGGAAGTACTTTCATTAATGTATTTTTTAATGCTCATGTGAAATAAATAACATTCTTTCATTAAAAAACGCTACGAATTAATTCCAACACCTAATAAATAATATTATAAAAATTGAAATAATATTATTTATAATATTATTTATTAGGTGTTGGAATTAATTCGTAGCGTTTTACAAGTGATGGGAAGTACTTTCATTAATGTATTTTTTAATGCTCATGTGAAATAAATAACATTCTTTCATTAAAAAACGCTACGAATTAATTCCAACACCTAATATAATAAAATAATTATATCACAAAATTTTATACGATATTTTTATTATGGAATTGTTTGATGAATTTAAATTATACTATTAGATATGAAACTTTGCTTGATAGTACGATCGAGAGCGTGTTACTTTGACACTAACAATAGGCAATTCAAACACAGAAATGGTTTGATTTATATTTCGACACACATGAAAATTAAAAATAATAAAATGTTACTTAACTCAAGGAATTGAGTTATTATTGCTCCTTTAATTAATACCTAATAAGGCTATGTGATATCTAACAGTGCTTGATGAAGTAAATTTTACTTTTTATTAAATTCTGTTTATCAAGTAATATATATTAGATATCAATTAAAAAAGCAATGATAACTCAATCCCTTGATAAAAGCATTTTATTACCTCCATTTATGAATCAAAATGTAAATCAATCCTATTTTTGTGATTAGTTTTAAAGTAAACAATCAACATATACACTTGTTAAATAATAAACTAAATTTGAATAAAATTTAATACATTTCTAAGTTAAATTGTATAATTCCATTGTTCTAGTTAAATTAACAATACATTGAGTAGGTACAATGGGGACATATAGAATTAATAATAATTAAAGATAATTCAAATATTGAGTATAATTTGACACTATGAATTAACATTGTAATGCATAGACTAACAACGCAAATTAAATTTTAATGCAAATTACAAATAACTGCTTTCTTATAAATAAATTTAATTTTCCTCAAAAAAAACTGACTTGGAAGAAACTGTTAACCGTTCTCGATCGCGCTCTACCATTAATACTCCGTTTTCTGACTGGCTCATGTGGCGAGTTAGGAAACGTGCATGAATCGTAGTACTACACGTCGACTACTATGTCGCGTTATCATTTGGCAGGAGGAGAGAGGCAAACGACAAGGTGGCGGTGGCGAGGGCGGTGGTAGTGGCGGCGGCGGAGGCGGTAATTCCAACGCAGGAAGGGGGAACACCGGCACTCATGGCGCCGAGACGCCCTCTAATCTGGCCAGTATCACGCCGACCGCGCGAGACGTAACACGTGTTGTGGTTGGGCGACAACGTTTCTCTCATAATACGTGTGACGTACGCAGCAATAACAATAACAACAATAATAACAACAACAATAGCAAGGAGAACCTGTTGCAAGAAAGCAGAATTGACAGCGATTCCCGGTGTCACATCGAATCTTTAAAGGGTCATCATCATCATCATCATCATCATCATCACCATCATCATCAGCAACACTATCAGACTCGTGGAATAGATGGTAGCAACGTTGTTGCTAGCGGGATCGTTGGTAATGTCTTCTCAGACGGTGGTGGCGGTGGCTCGTACGGCGAGGTAACAACGTGCGACAAGTACAAGGGCACCGGGTCGGAATCGAATCGGGGCGGTAACAGCGACGCGGTTCAAGGTCGCCCAAGCGAGAGATCCATGCTGAAGATTGAGAAGATATCGGGAAAGACCGCTCTGCACGGCGGCAGCGAGTCAGCGGTCGGTAAGTGCGGCGCGGAGAGAATGAAGTCGACCACGCAGGAGGTCGGCTACAACAAGCACGAGGTCAGCAAGGCCAAGGGCCACGATGTCGGACACGGTTACAAAGTCGAGAATCTGCGTTACTACGGTGAATTGAAGGGCTACGCCGATTTTAAGGCTTACGGTACCGTGGACAAGCAGCCGGCATCCGTACCGGTATCCGCGCACGAGAAGTCGCATCTTCTGGGCCCACATGGGCCCACCTCGTGCGAGAAGGGCGACAAGTGTCACGGCAAGGCGCCGTCCTCGTCCACGCAGAGTTATAACCTGGCCAAGATCGGTCAACAGCAGACGGAGAAGAGTCACCACAGCGGCGATCATTATTATCACAGATCGTCACATTCAAAGTCGCCGAACATGTATCAGGTGTATCAGGAGACCAAGTACTCGTACAATGTGAGCGGGGTGCCCGGGACGCCGGCGCAGGCCAGCGCAGCCGCGGCCTTCTTCGCAAGGTCAGTGTTCACTCAATCTAACGAATATACGATAGCATGCCACAACGCACCTGCTGACGTGAGTGTCCCAGTTACTTTAGTTCTTCCTGTATCGCGAAATTCAACGAACATCATATTGTATAATTTACATATCGATAACATTTTAGGATTAATTTCGATGATTTCATTTACGAAAGTTTAAAAATGAATTATAATTTATATATAATTTTGAAATTTTAGCCTTCTTGATTTTTTATTTCTGTTCTGAGATTCTTATATCAAGATTCAATCGCTCATTTAATCTATTATATTTTCTTGAAATTTCTCAAAATATCGACGAACATTATTTTTTAAATAAAAATAAGAAAATAATATTACGTGAACATCTAATGCAAATTTTACAAGCTTTTAGAACGCAAATCCTGAACATTTAGTTGAATATTCCTTTCTCGATCAATTTTGCTTGTTTTTAAAGATTATCTTAGCACGTCTACATAACGACTCGTTGATCAACGGTTGATGGTTAATAAATAAGAATGAAAAGATGGTAATTTTATACTGAAGCGGTTCGAACATGCGAAAGTTTATTGCAGTTATTATATGATTTTTGTTTGTTTGGAGAAATTTATATTCTCGTCGTATGTCGCGCACGAAGCGATCAATTTACGGGACTATAACCGCATGCACAGATCTCGTATTCCGTTAGTATCTATGCGTTTAAAAAGTCGAGACATTTTTCATCGTTATCAGGTCTGCTTCTTGGAGCGTGAACGCTCCAATCGAAGCATTGCTCGCGATACGCTAGCAAAAGCATTATTTATTGCACGAATCGATAGCCTGTTTACTCGAGAAATCTGCAAGCTCTATGCTAGCTCCAAGAAACAGCTCGAGAAACATTCAAACCTAACATTAATTGACAAAAACTGCAACGCATACGTATACCAGTAAACGCGTGCAAAAGCTTCCTCACAACTTGTATTTTCCTCGTGAAAACACCGCATCAAACAAGCATCAAATAAGCATTCTATTGTCCCTCACGTTGCCTCCTTATTCATTTTAAGCACGCTCTTTCGTGTTTTAACGCAGATAATCATGATTTTGCGAGCGCAGCCGGCTGTAGAATGACATTCATTTTCTCGTCGTCTCTTACTTGTTGGTCTTATAAAACACATTTTCATCGCACCAAACCATCCCCGTAGAGCACTCGTACGGGACCATCCTTCCTGGTTAGGCTCGGGTCTCGAGCTTTGATCTCAGCTCGCATATTTTCAACGTCCCCGTATGAAAGCGTACACACTTGCGTGCAGGAGCGTAGAGTACAAGCACGAGCAAGCGTAGATCGTATGTGGTTCGTGTGCGAGGAGAAAGCTCTTTCTCTTTCTAAAGGCTCCGCGGTCACAGCCGTCTTTTCCCCTTAACCTTAGGCGCGACCTCAGCCCTTTAATAACCTTGCTCATAGCTTGTGGATATTGTAAAGCACAATGGCATTCTTGGGGAGGGTCGCCTGCTCGGTTTCCCTTTCGTTCTCGTTCGCTTATAGTTTCCTATGTGTATGCGTATAAAGCGCGCAAGTAGTAAGTGTGAATTATTAGCGGCAGCTAATTACGAACCACTCTTAATAACGATGTGCGTCGAGAATCGAAAGTTTTCTGGACAAGGTGGTAGGGGAGAGAACGCTCGAGGGAGGTCTCGTCGGTTAGCGCTGGACTTCGGAATGCCAGCAAATTATTCAAAGCGAATGGGACTGCTATTATCCGGATGCTCAGCTATCCATGCATATAATAAGCCCGGGCTTTCAGCGAGCGCAACCGTGGCGGCTTTAGGCTTATGCGAGTTTTAATAGCATTTCAAGCAGAGCGATGACGCTGGCTAATCATTGGGATTCGACAGGGATGCAAGTGGTATGGTCAAATTAAACATGTGGTATATAGATTTGCCCTTTTATCTTGGCTTAACATCTCGCGCTTCCAATTATTCATATATCAAAAGTGAACGTTACACTTACTACATTTTCCCCCTTTGATACAGCTCTCTCTCTCTCTCTCTCTAGTCAACTTTTGATATTTATTTTGTATTTGTTATAAAAATATTTTCTGCTCTTTTACAATAATTATTCACCATTGTTAAACATGAAATTAAAAATATTATTAACTCATAACAGAAACACATATTTTTGTGCTGAAGAAACATATGGATTCTTGAGTCTTACTAAAATTTTTTATTATTAGTTTTATTTTCTTAAGAATTTTTTTAAGTTTAATTAAGTATATTCTTAATTTATGGTATAAGATTGCTTGAAAAATACAAATAAAATATTACTGATAGAATTTATTGCTTCTAAACTTCGTTAGATACAAGCATATTTTCAGAGTTTTGTTGGAAATACTCAGGATGTATTTTAATTCGAACATTTCCTAAATATGCACATATATTACATAACAGTTACATTGTTAAATGTGAATATATTGATATTATGTTACTTTTAGTTGATATTTACTAGAACTTTTACTTTTCCATGTCAGCGACATCATAAATATTGTGATTACGGTGCATGATGTACAGCGTGCCATTACAAGTCAGTTAGTCGACTCATCATTAAAGTATAATAGGATATAGCAGGCGCTTGAGCGATCGTGCTTCGTGTTCCAATGATATCAATGCGCTCGTGCCGAGACAGTGGCGCCTGTTCTGCGCACACTGTCTATTTAGTACCTTCTTCCTTTTGCTCTTTAACGATTCCTTACAACGGACAGCTACTGTTTCGTAAGAAGTTGACAAGAATTGAAATTAATCGCGTTCCATGTGCATCAATGATCGTTTTTATTTCCTTCTAATCAACAAAATTAATTATTTTTATTTATTAATTTAATACAATTTATGCTCCATTATTATTATTATTATTATTAATCAATATTAATTTGATTTCTGGACGTTAATATACAAAAACTTAACTTGCTAGAGCAAAATAATTTTTTTTTCACAACTAGCAACGATCATAGATATTTTCTTATAAATATTAGCAAAATAAGTGCTTTAATTAAGAATTATATATTTATGAATATGAAAAAGACAAATTTTAGAATTAATATATAGATTTTCCAGGACATTTTTCAATTCTTTATCACTTTCAAATTTTTTAACTATAAATTTAATACAAATTTTTTAATATAAAAAATTAGCCCAGAATTGTGATACTAATGTGAAAATAAAAGAACGTTCGGGATGTTCCGTCAAATCAACGAACGTTTGTAAAACTAAACTTGTTAAATTCATATATACTTAACGAGTACTCGATGTCTCTATAAAATGATCAATCACTTCGTTTTAACCATTTTCTTATTTTCCAGATCGGATGTAAATTTTTGTTTTGTGAGCAAACGTGGTGCAAAGTTGCCAAGAGTGGCTGCGCCTTTTTTCCCAAATTTTCTCGCAGTCGAACTCCGATAGAGGTCGATTTCCCGATGGGCTCCGCTGTAACCCTTCGTAAAGTTGAAATTTCAAAACTTTCACATTGGAGTTACCTATACGAAGCACGGGCACATGGCAAATAAAATTGACCTAGGATGCACGTTCCTCGGTACCAACGGAGAGGAGAAAGAAGGAGCATCGGGCGAAGAAGAGAAGTGAAGAACGCGAGAGGATAAGGTGAAACTGAAGGCGGTGGGCCAAGTCTGCCAGTATTGTTGGTCGTCGTGATTTTATTGCCCCTTATATTGCCTCCGCGATACTCTCCTTCTCCTTCTTCTTCTCTTGCACACCACGTTCATTTTCCTCTCCTCATCTCACTTTAAGTCCGTCGCTGTCTCTCACTTCCGATTTCACGCCCGCGCCCCCGGGATCGCGAAAGCGATTTTTACGAGGCAGCTCGTCTCGCGTCTCCCGAGATGCAACCTGCCCGCCATTCCTGAAAATTGCAATCTCAGGGCTCGCAATATAGTCGGAATTGCTGGTCGTAATCGAGGAACGGGAAATGATATCGGCCAGAGATGCGGATCCGATCACAACAATAATTCAGAAATATCTAGGCATTAAAAGCGCGTCTTAAGGTGATCCTACATGGTCAATAATACTGATCAATAATATTGAATCAGTAATACTGACAGCATGCATCAATATTTACAGTATTTTTACAATAACTTTACATGGTCAATATCATTGACAATATACTTCATTTCAGTTTTACGTACATTATCTATTGCATTGACATGGATCCTAATAAAGCGGTATACTGAGAATAAAAATGAGAATAAAAATTCATGGTTAGTATTCTATGTCAATCCGTCAACATTAACCATACATGAAGTAATATTGTTAATATTAATTACTGATCGACAATATATTTAATGCTGACAGTATCATAGACTTTTAGATTTACGCCGTTGCTTTTTATATCGCCATTTACAGACGTATTTTGTTTGTCTTTGGTACAATCGCGGAACATTAAAAATTTTACATATTTAAGTGGACGAGCGACTGAAATTTTACTTGCTCGCAAAACATCGAAGAAGCGAGAAATCATGGAATCGCGGAAAACAAAGAAAGTATCCTCGAATTTTTCTCTAAACAAGATGCACGCGCGCACTTTATCCCATACATATTTATAGGATAAAGGATTTTGTCTTCACTCTTCGAGGCTTGGCGTGGGCAACGATAGTACGCTGGTATCATATTAGACGTACTCGAATAACCCTTAATTAGGCAGATGGGATGCGAGGAACGAAACGTAAATACGCGCCTGCACACATATTGCTCGTGGAAACGTGTATCCTATTTAATTTGAAAGCCGAGGAAAGATCGTTATCTCGTTATGTGCACGGTATATTGCGCTTATGAGCAGCGATAATTATTGGTGTGAGTATAAGGGACTACGCGCTGCGTGAAATTACTCAATAGGATACGAATCTATTGACATAAAAGTTACAACAAAGATAATGTAAAGTTATATACCATCAAGTAAAACCAATATAGACAATATCTTTGAAGAAACTTTTAATTCTTGGTAAATATTTGTTTCTTTCCAA